ATTATTAAAATGATATAAGATTGTATAAAAATAATATAAAAAAATTATTCTTAAATAAATTTTTTTTTTCATCCAAGTGGGCAAATCAAATGTCAAGTCCCTTGCCACGTAGGAGTGAGATGACTAATTTCGCTACACGAGGCAATCTCTTAAACCGCAGTTAACGGCAATTAACAGCAGTTAAGTTGGCTGTGAGTGTAAGGGCTAAATTGCTTCTATTGCAGAGTTCAGGGCCTTATATGCTTCAATTAAAGTATGGGGGCTAAATGGCGATTCTTGGGTTAGTTCAGGGGCTTGACTTATGGTTTTGCCTTGGAAATATTACGGAAATTGCTGGACAGGTTTTTCTTCAGTTCACATTTCACTGCCATGCAAAGTTCAATGAAAATAGCTTTTCAGTTTGAAAAACATCAAATTATACGTTAGCATATATGCATTAAAAAGAATTCTTCCCTATGTGATTTAATTTAATTTAATAAATATTAATATTTAAATTAATTATTATTATTGATCATCGTGATAACGACTCATTATTTTAAATGAAAGTTAATTTCTTTTAAATAAAATTTTTGAATTTAAATTTTATAAGTAAAAAGATAAGTATTAGAAGAGTTTTTTTCTTTATGAAGTGTAATATGATTTAATTTTGAATTAGTTGAAAGTCAATATAATTTTTAAATACTAAAAATTTAATATAAAAAAATAATTATTAACTATTAGATTAAACAAAAATACTAACTACTAATTTGAAACTATAATATCAAATAGCCTTTAAATCTATTATATATGTTATAATATGGAGGAATTGCACAATTATTGATCATTTTATTTTTATTTTATTTTTTTTTTTATATTGGTGGCAAGGTATTTTTTATAAGTTTTTTATATTTTAAAATTAATTTCTATCCAATCAATTTTAAGAGCATCCTACTAAATTGACCTAATACATTTAAATAAATTAATTTCCTTACAAACTGAGTCCAAGGTTTGAACTCTAAATATAACTTACAAAACAACATTACTTCCCATTGCATCCAACCTTGGGGTTATTATATTCTCCAAAAAAAAAAACCTTTGGCGTTATTATAGA